CATTTTCGAGCATTGCATTTGGATAGCTTTTCATACGCGCGACGATTATGTTCTGCGACTACGAGTTTTTCAATTTGCACAGTGGTTTGTCAGTAACCCGTGACTTCGCTGGCTCCATATCGTTTCGAATTTTCACTTGCGTCATTTCCGTCGGCTGTAGCGCCCTGGATCCACTCCTTGTGTGTACAGTCTTTCTTCTTTTGTCAAGTGATTCGCTGCTTAATGCAAAGATCCCGCTTGCCAATTGCCGAAGATTGCTGTAGGCCGGTTTTTGTTATCATGGCACAGAAAATCAAAAGTTGCGAACTACCTGGTTGGAGGCTGTTATTCCGGCAGACCGTAAAGGCGTATGATCTTAGGCGAAACCGGATAGCCTAACAGCGAATAACGAGACCCTTTATTTACTGACAGTCAACACAAACCACCTTGACAAGGCTGTGAAACTTCGCACTATTGCATGTCTATGTGTGCAGCCTTGCCAAAAAAGCTAAGTGGTTTAATTTTCGATCATCGTAGCACCACAATGCAGTCACCGAGCTGGGACCGACTGACCAAAGAGAGAGGGGGTGGGCGGACGAACAAGCATCTGACGGAAAAAAAGCGTGGATTGCAAGTGCGCGCAAAGGTTCTGACTAATTTCGATTGGTCTTGTTTTTGGGCACGCAAGCACGCTGGCATACAATTGTTGCCGTTTGGTTTCTGTGCAAATACCTAAGTGAATCAGATGTCAAAGTGGCACAAATCAATTCAGACGAGCCTAGCGGGCTGCAGACAGATAATACTCGAGTTTTTAATTAAATCTGTTCTCCCCAATTTTCGTTAATGTGACATGGTTTTACATTTTCCAGCAAGACATGAATGCCCTACTTTCTTCTGTATATTTGATTTGACCGGCATGACGACTACTATAGGCGCCTTTCTTGCGCAATGTCTCCCGATTTCTTATCATCTGGCAAGCTATATCCATTCCTATAGTTCCGAACACTATTTGTATAGAAATCCCTTAAGGATTCTAGTTAATGACGCAGAGAAAAACCTTGAGATGACCGTCAGCAAATCGGCGTTAATTTACGGGATAACCACTGAACCGGCATGGTGATGGCCTACTACCTATGTCGTATTTGTACTTGTTTTAGGGCGTCACCATGGTTTGAAACCTGCTCCATTGAGGTCGCTGTTTTGGACCAATATTTCTGTCAGTCATTCCTAGTCGTTTTTGCCACCATCTTCCGGAGTTGGCGGAAGGAAGTATTATTGTGGGGCCTGGCTCGCCCCGCCAAGGTAGGGAACTGCACAGTCCTTCCGCTGATCCAGTCATTGTGAAGCTGCTGGATTAATGCAATAATTTTCTCAACTGCGCTGTAGGCAAATGTCCTTAATGCTGGCCCTTCATCGACTCGGATCGTAAAAAGGGACAAGATGCCTTGGTGGTACTGAGTTTCTGGATTTCTGTCACATGCAAGTGTCTAACACGTAGTATTTTGGGCGCAAATTGATGGTGAACTGCTAAGCATGTGCGAACAGGAACATGATGCGACCATGGGTTTTAAATGTTTCGGCACCACACATCGATCTGCAATCGTGAATCCAACTGCGGAACCTTGAACTGATTTAAATGTGCTTGTACCCGTCGTTTGAATACCGGGTCAACAGATGTTTACGTCGATGCATTAGGCACGTGTCAGCGACGAACCAAAGTTGAACAATCTCCCACCAATGTCGCATCGGTAAACCAGCCCAAAGCGGCTAATAAGGCGACGTTTGGTAGAATCGTCAGGTCCAGTCCAGTCATTCCAGCTCGCGGCAACAAGCAACAAATGTTGGCGAGTAAATCGCTTACTATGAACATATTACGGTGAGAGAGCTTGTGTTTCAGCGCACCGGTTGACAGCTGCAGTAGAGGAGAGTTTATAGACTCGTTTTAGTTGGCCGCGTTCTAACCGACCGTTGATTTATTTCGGCTGAAGCTGTCTATTACAGTTTCTACCGGAAACGTTGCATGAAATGCCATGGCGCGAAAAGAAGAGGAATTTTACTCCAGAGACTGGTTTTCCGGTAACCGTGGTTGGATTGAGAATTCCGACAGTCGACAGACTTCGTATGGTTTGTTTGAGGCTGTCTTTTCTAAGAAATTAACTGCTTTGAACTGCACAACAACCAAACCAAGAAGACATGCAGAGATGTCCCAAAAATCCTTCTGTATTTTTTAAATCGAAATAAATCGTAATGTTTAAATATTTCAAACTTGCAGTAAACGGTATTGAAAACACGAATTATAGCCTTAAACGTCGGCTTACTTGTTATCTTATTTAATCAAATGTTCTGACCGATTCTTGAATGCTTTAGAAACTTTTGCTGCCCTGTGAAGGCTTTTATTATTATTCTAACATGACTCGATTTTTTTTCTTTCAACTGCTTATAACACTTCCGAAGTCCTAGCCATGTGTAGGCTTCCTTTCAGCATTGTCAGGTCAACCGTAGTGCTGCGAGAAAGAGAGATACATTTTATTGTGAAAATATAATTCAAAAATTCTCAACAAAAAGCGTCTTCCATTCAAAAGGAATAAAATTAGTCACAAAAACTCACAAAACCAAAGATCAAAAGTAATCCATAATCGCCGATGACTGCAATTTTCGACATCGTGAATAAATGTCCTTGGAAAAGTCGTCAAATATAGAACAAATTGGACTGCTTTCAAAGCGGCGCTAGCGTCGTGACCTCGTGCAGTCATGACCTTATTTTACTTCAGATAAACAAAGAGAAATCATAATCGGTTAATAATAGGCGAAATAAGTTAACCGACGTGTATGTATAAGCAAATTTACATGTGCATGGAGGGAGGAAAATAATGGCGGTTCAGTCTGAAAGCCCTCCTGCTGTAAAATTCATAAGCTATACATTATTTAGGACACCCAGTATTTATTAAACAAAGGATATTGGCAGTGACGCTGCATTTGCCACTCTGTGAAACACTTCGTTTTCGATTCCGAGGAATATTTAGCCATGTATTTTTGATGTCTTTTTTCACGATCACGTTTTTTTGCAATTGTAGCTGCGGCGGGAACTGTACCCGTTGCTAATGACGCCTCTACTTCCTCCTCATCCTCGTCCGCCAACGCAACTGCAGTGCCGAACGCTGTATCCGGTGGGTCCCGTTTTACGACATCCCAGGGCCGCAAACAAGATGCCAGGAAGTCACCTGTGGGTGGGCGTTCAAGCGATGCCAACCGACCCATGATGCGGTCCCGTCCCGAGCCTGTAGGGACCGCCGGCGATACGGCAGTGACCACAACGACAATCACCGGCATTGGCAACATCCCGGGCTATATGAATGTGCCGGCGCAGAGAGCCAGTGTGGATGTCACACCGAGTTCGGGCAACGGGCGGTCTGGGGTGACCAAGAAACTCGCCAGTGGTGTCTCCAAAGTTAATACAACTACCCTCAACAATCCTACAGGTTGGTTCTTCTTTAAACTTCTTCTGTAAAGCGTGAACACCATCCTTTTCTTCGTCGTCAGTGTGCGCTCTCCTTTAGGATATTCACTAGCTTAATTGAGTTTGCAGTTTGCCTCTGGGTGTTACACGTTGCTGGTCCCCGGGCGCGGTTATTGTCGGATTTTTTCTGCCATCTTTTATCTTCATCTCCAGTCTGGCTGTTGCCTATCCGCTGTCTTTTCTACGTTCGATAATAAGGAGGTAACCTGCAGGCTGTTTTTGCGTCCTTCGCTCGTCCCCACCACTACCTATGCATGACTTGGCCTAATGCACTTGCGAGGATGACTGTCAGTGC